CATCGTCTAATCGTCTCGAACGCTGTGGCTAGTGGCAAAGATTCAGGAAGCATCGAGAAACATCGATATTCATCTACGGCATTCTAAAACGATTTTGGATCCTATAGAGCTAGTCGATATGACCAAGCACAATCGATTACGAATAATCGATTAGAGAACCACGAGTTTTGAGCAGGCTCAAAGGCTATTGTTGAAGCGGAGTGGGACAACAATGAAGACTGGTGATTCATAAACAAAGCTGCTACCATAAGAATAATTAATTTGCGACAACAATCTAAATCGCTTTTTAAATCTGAAGAACCCCAACAAGTGTGAAAAATATCTGAAACGCGTACTTACAATTTGGCAACCTGTGATCCGTTGAAGGCGAGTCCTTCTACCTCCTCGATGACATTGTATTCAAGAAGCCTGTAAAATGAATGGATTAAAACAAGGTTAACGTCGATGAAACTGCGTTATTAAAGGAGTCTGGTCCACGAAGCCAGTGAACTGAGCGACATTTTCAGTGAACTTTCTATTAAGCGTAATACTTCATATGTTAAGTGGGAATAAAGACTTACAAAATTGAATTTTTAAAGAGTGTTACTGAAAGGGATTTTCCAACTCTTCCAAAAACAATAAAATCGAGTGTGAATAAAGCAATGCAGGAACGTCCTGAGATTAGACCTGATAAGTTAGGAAAACGCAAGAACTCTTAATAGGTTGAGTAGCTCCTTAACAAAAACACATTTTTCTATTTGCTGAGGAATAACCCACTCACAGCTGCTCTGCCTTGACGGTGAGCGCACCAGAGGGCACCTTCTTGATGAGGTTATTCTCCAAATCTCTGTGGAAGATTCCAAACAGAATAAAATTATAAACAAAACGCAGACATACTCATCAACATTAAGGCAACAGGTACGTCACTTAGTCAACTTACCGATCCATGATGACTGTGAATGATGAATTGCCAAGCAGACGAAAGGAAATGTCGCGTCTGGTATTTGCCTGCAGGGACTGAGGACAACCACGACGAAAACACTGACTCCAAGAATTGAAGGACGAACATCTCTTTTATGAGCGACTGCAAAGGGCGGATATTCTGAGGACGTGATGTCGAATCCCTACTCCGAGCGCGGAGAGAAAATGGCGAGGGCAGAAGTCGAATCGGAAATGAGAAATGAGCTGTAACTAGGTTAGGACGCGTTTCCCTACCTATGTTCGCATGCGCTTTTGAGTTTGTCAGGGCGCGAATTATGACGCAGTTTAGCCTTGTTGCTGGGCAGCATCTACGGATGGAGGCGATAAGAACCTTTCAAACGCTGATAAAACCACCCGGAAGATCACATGGCAAAAAAGTGACTTGGGACAAGATCGCGAAATTTTATACGATGCGTCTTCATTCTATTCAGACCAGCGAGAAATTGCCCTTTTATTTAAAACTCGCGTTTACTATGGAGCCCATAGAAATGTTATCACTTTTATCTTTAAAAAAAAACTAATTAACTTCCAGTTGTCACAATAACAACCTTCGAGAACTACGCACAGCGAATGCAACTGTTCGCCAGATGTCTTATGTTCAGGGATGCAAACCGATAATCCATTAGCAGCATTACGCAATTTAAGCAAAACACGCGCCTATAATCTTACAGACATAAACGCATTAAGTCCAAAGTCTCGTAACAGCCTTAGCATGGCAATGATTATAATAACCTAACCTAACCTAACAGATGCACATAGCATAAACATCTTGTTGGATATAACACGTAATTATTTTATATAATTGTATCGAAGCCCACCAACAGTGACGAACCATCACTTGAATTTCAAATTGGCATCTATCAGGTCTACTGACTGCACAAAACAAATATTTCTTAAAATAAGCTGTTTCATTTTTCGAGTCTGGCTAGCTCATCGGATGGCGTATGATATGCAACAAGGGAACAGCTGCCGATTGGGCGGGCGACCGCTTTGTCACAACGCAGAGGTGACACGTCACCACGTTGCCATGGAAAACTACCAGCATACAACAGAAGAAACTTTCACCGTTTTGAGGACAAATACTCACATCATGTGAAGGATGCTGTTTGTCTTAAGCTGGCTGAGGTCCGGGATCTGCTCCAGGCTAGTGTGCACAATGCGCCTGTCAGGAAACAAGAGACGGTATTCAAGCCACTTCGACACTGATCTTTCATCTCACAGCACATGCTTTTGTCTCCAAGTCCATAACGACATAACTAAAGCTTGTAATCACAAACTCTTGACAAAATATTTCTGTTCTGAGCACTGACCTTTTTTTTTTTTTTTTTTTTTTTTTTTTTTTTTTTTTTTTTTTTTTTTTTTTTTTTTTTTTTTTTTTTTTTTTTTGGAAAAGAAAAATAACACGTAAAATTTCCAGATGACTGATTCATTAACGCGATTATTAAATTTTCAAAAAAAAAACCCGTTAGCGGTGGGATTTAATTTTTTGACTGTCTGTTCAGTTCATTTGAAGGTCAGGAATTCTTAACGTCGGCACTAGATGGTAAGAACCCCGGTCGCCTACCACGTAGCCTAGTCAGTACACTGTATTAGGTATTAATACAAAATTATGATTCTAGTACACCATGCATTCATAAACGTTTCTGATAAAAATGTATTAATACATGACTTCTGAGGTTTCCACAGCGGCCGAGAGTTCATATTCTGGGCTACCACACCTTCTAGCCTTCTAGATGGTTATCGAAATTCCGCAGGAAAATATTATTTCGGTATCAAAACAGTTTTACAGCCAAGTGACGTGGGTCAGATAGTCAGTTACTTTCTTTCCGAAAACTGGCAAGGCTGCATATATTTAGAAATTGTGCAAAGAAACTTAAGTACTTGATACAAGAGATCTAGTCGACAATCTTACAGTATCTTGAGGTGCGGCAGCTCCACATGGAACACTGAAGGTGAGATGACCCTCAGGGCCGGCGCCTGGTAAATGTATCTGTAAGAAAAGAGAAAAAGTTCATAACGGCACGGGTAATCCATGCAAAAGTGGTGCGTCGAGACTTGAAACAGAACCAGCACAGTATTCACGAGACATGTCATCTTGAATTCGAAGAATGCCGTGAACATTTGGGCTCATTCGTTACAGGACAAGAGCAGCATTAAGGCAGTCATTACTATTCGCACAACACATACGCGACCCCTCTCACATATCACGACGTGTGTATTTTACTGGCATATATTAACGCTGAAAATCGATTTGTTGGTACCCTTGGTATGTCGTACGACGTCACAAGTCACAATGAAAATTTAATGCCTTCGAAGCAATTCGTCTTGTCAATACAATTGAAGTTTTCGACAAACTTATCCCCGAAACTCACAAGGGCATTTAAAAAGGAGTGATCAATGCTACAGGAAAGTTTAAAACGAGTTCTTCTCTTTGGTGGAACTTTGTATCTATCGTCTACATGTACGCTACAAAGTCTGGTAATTGATTCTAATAAAACCTGTCAATAAAGGTACACTAACCATTATAATAGAAATTTCAAGGGCACACGCAAACTATAGGTACTTTAATATTCCCTCTGGTACAAACAAGGTTCTGGATACCGAGCCAAAATGGGTACCCAGTTCGAATCTCGTCTGGGTTGATAGCATATTACATTTACATACGCTCCGAACAACATTTTCCGTTCAAAACCCCTTTAGGTGTTCCTGCAGTCAAGTTAACTGGGACTTAGGTGAACTGTTATGGCCCTACAGGAAAATACTTGTTAGAAACGTAAAGCATGTACTCCGAACTTTCAAATGAACTTCGATCAACAAGGCAAGAATTCCTTGGGAATAACTTAATTTGGAACAGAAGTATCGTGTTACATAGATGGATTTTATATTCTGGGTTGCAACATCGTGTAGTCTGGTAGATGCCCCCTCCATCATCAGGGCGATTATTTTAGACAATGATCTGATAACGGAGATAGCAAAAAACCTCTGAGACGTCGGCAAACTTCTACCAGGCCACACGACGTAGCAACCAAGAATACAAAAGCCATTTTCATACTTGCCTGAAACGTCTGGATCGTGTCCTACTTCGTCTGTAGTGCCGACATTCGAACCGAGTACCTTCCAATTCAGACAAGAATCCTAGTCAAAAGATTCTTTTTATCATCCTGACAGATCGCCCAGCGATTAATTACGAGCATGATGTGTGACGTGGTAATAATTTCTAATCTGTTTATAATCCAATATAGGACAGAATCAAATTAGAGAGACGGGTAATTACCCTGTTACCCCGATCTAATTCATCACACAAATCCGTAAGCAGCTACAAATACGGTTTCTGACGCAGATCGAATCGCTCTGAAAACCAATCTGATACCATACGATCTGATGACGTGAAGTTCTGGCGAACGACACTAATTTTGTTTGCGCTGAAGTTGAAGGTGATTTCATTTCCGGCCGGGGGAGACAGCAACTGACGTCATCTCAGACACCAGTCTGTGCTTTAGTTCATTGTTTCGGGAAAGTTCGAAGCCTGACAGACCAGGGCCCACCTCATTTCAGCAGGGACACGGGTGCTTCAAGATAAGAGAAAAAGTTACAGGTCGGATTCTGAGCCACTCCCACGCACACGTTGTCCTCGGTCTTCCGCGCGGACTTACCAAAAAGAAATATTTTGTATGCATTCCTTGTTTTCTTCTTTTCACCATCGAATGCCCACTTACCCTCCTACATTTCACAATTATAACAAAACTTCGCACAGATTAAACGAATCCAAAATAACCGACCCGCATAGGATAAAACCCACCACCGCTTAAGGAGTTCCACATAACCTTCCTGGACTCATCCAGCACTTCTCCATGACCAAAGAACTTCAGCATGACCTCTCCAGGACTTCTCCGGCACTTCTCTAGGACATACCCATGACCATCAAACTTAAATTTCATCATCATGAAAACAGCCACTCCACCCTCCACACACCCAAATGACTTCTAGAGAACATTTTTTTCAAACACACGTGATTAATACTCTTCCTTCGAAGTAATGCGACGCCAAGTTTCAAACCCACACCCCAGTTTTGTACGCAAAAGTTCCTGAACGGGCATTTCCATAATTTTATCGCAAACGTCATTTATCCTGCGCTGAACTTGAACTGCTATCAAAAAGACCAAAACGTCGCTCGCTCGTTCCAGTCCTGATTAGACGCTGACATCAGCACTCAATGTAACGTCCTGAAATTCTCTATGGTAATGGGATTTTAAAAACCCCCAAACTTGCGTGCAAAATGGGACATGACAATCGATATAAACTTTCCATTCTGATGGCGGTAACTAACTAACCATTGTGTCGGAACACGTGACCCTGGAAGAACTTTTGCCAGAGACAACTTCTGCATCAATCTTGTTTGTGTATGTAAAAACATGGCGGCGATGCAAACACTGCCGTCACGTCAATAACTTTTCAATAGTCCTTTATTCGTACACAAGAGGGAATTTTCCACAAATAGGGGTCACGAATGTGAATAATAATAACTTTCCCCTGACCTCGTTAGCCTAATTTCGTCACAGACAACGAGTTATTTATTTTTCGTGTCATAATATCCGTCTGCCTCACCTTGTCTAAATAATTTTCAATCAAATGACGGATTTCTACGAATCTCTGTATGAATATCATGGCCCTAGATGCCAACCCAGTCTTGTACTTTTTCATTTACTATCATCCATAATATAAACATGGTGCTCGTACGAACTTCTGTGGTCTGTGCAACACCGCTTGTCACTAATAAAGACTCCAAAATTTTTGCGAGGTAGTAGATATTCGATACCCAATTTATATTGAGATGTATGAGTGTGAAACAGTCTGTCACATGAAGGAAACAGGAAAAATTGATCGTTCTGAGAGCACACATAATCTCCTTAGCGCCCCGTTTTCAAACGCCCTCCGTCAAGAATATATAAATAAATAAGATACAGAAATGGTCTGATGATAGGAGCGAAG